AAATAAATAAAAGGTGTAAGAAATACTTGAAAAGTTTCTCCGCAGTGAGGTTTCCTGATGCATTGAAATGCCCATTGAAAGAAAGAGGCAACTGCTGTGAGATTTTTCACTCCTGGATCAGGGTCTGGAAACAAAGCCCTGTGAGAAAAGCTGAAAGCAAAGCAAAAAGCAAAGCGTGTTGCTTCTATACCGCCCCATAGGGCTTCAAGCACTCTCTGGGCGGTTTACAAGTTAATTATGCAGGCTACACGTAAAAGAAAGAAATGTGCATGTTTCACTTTGAGAAAAGAAGCCTGAGGGGCACCCTTGAGCAGAGGCAGGGCCTGTTCTCTGTAATTCCCTGAGTTCAGGACATGCAGCAATGGGCTAAAGATACAGGAAGCCAGATTTCAGTTGAATATCAGAAAAAAACTCCTAACTCTCAGAGCAGTACAGCAATGGAACCAATTACCTCGAGAGGTGGTGAGTGCTCCAACACTGGAGGCATTCAAGAGAAATTTAAAAAACCACCTGACATATATCCTTTGGTTTCTATTCTGATACTGAGCAGAGGGTCGGACTCAGTGTTTTATAGGCTCCTTCCATTAATCTATGATTCTACAGGAGAGTCAAAAGACAACAAGATTTTTTTCAGGAATACTATTTGCAAAAAGCAAAGACAAAACACTACTTGTGGATTTTGTATACATTCTGCTTCAAAACCTTCCTATTTTCAAAGTTGACTGATATGAGTCCTTCTGCACAAAATGTAAGATTTTCTGTAGAAAAACATGACTGCTATTTTTTTAAGAAATGTAAACAAATTTTTAAAATGCACAAAATCTCTTGTATTCTTGCACAATGAGAATTTTTGAAAAACATTTTTTGTCTGCAAGAGCAAAATAAATGAAGACTTCCACCTTCACTCATAGCTCTGCTGCTGTAGCCTGTAATGGCCTAAAATTTAAAGTGTGTTTTGTATTCTTTGAAATATATTGATTTCTGTATTTTATTTTATTTTTACTTTGTGCAGTCGACTTCATTCCAACAATCTTTACTGTGATTGCCACCTGGCTTGGTTATCTGATTGGCTACGTCAGCGACCTCGGGTTGGATTATATACCCAATGCATGGGCCCATCACATTTAAGGGGGCACAATGTAGCAGAAGTTCAGAAACGAGAATTCATCTGCAATGGTAAGAGTATCAGCACTGTTAAAACAGCACCCTGATACAGCCTGAGGGCAAATGTGTAAAATGAAATCCACTAATGATGCAGAAGACACAGTGTGTTCATTCCACTCACAATTTGAGCAGATGAGTGAAATGTTCCTCTGCATTGTGCTGCCTGTGCTCATGCAAACACAGGCAGCAGAACTGAAAATTTAAAGAATGGAAACCATATCCTCCCAAATCTCTTTTGCTTGAGGCAATTTAATGTGCATTCTCAGAATGTAACTTGCAAGAAAAGGAGCTTGAGAGTTTCTCATGTCCCATAAGAACAAGGAAGGCTTGGTGGTCTCTTCTTGACAATAGTAACATGAGAACTCTGGTCAGGGGGCAGTTTTAAAATGCCATAAGTAAAAAATAGCTAAAAACCAGTTGCTTTGCTTAGTAAGTCACACTAGAGTAGGTCCATTGAATCAGTTGGGACTTGATGAGTCAGCTCCCCCATAAATTCTGTTGATTCAAATCATCCAACTTTAGCTGTGACATACTGCACTAAAGGAAGTCTCATCTAGAATAAGCTCATTTGAATCAGTGGAATTTACATAGGAGTAGACTAAGCGGACATGGTGGTGCAGCGGGTTAAACTGCAGAAGCCTCTGTGCTGCAAGGTCAGAAGACCAGCAGTCGTAAGATTGAATCTACGTGGTGGAGTGAGCTCCCGTTGCTTGTGCCAGCTCCTGCCAACCTAGCAGTTCGAAAGCATGTAAATGTGAGTAGATAAAGAGGTATCACCATGGTGGGAAGGTAATGGCATTCAGTGTCTAGGCGCACTGGCCACATGACCATGGAAACTGTCTATGGACAAACGCTGGCTCTACGGCTTGGAAATGGGGATGAGTACTGTGCCCTAGAGTTGGACATGACTGGACTAAATGTCAAGGGGAACCTTTGCCTTTACCTAGACTAACCAAATCTCAACCAATTTCATTGTACCCACTCCAGTACAACTTACTGTGCTAAGCAAGAAGATTTCAGTCATTAAGTTCAGGCATAATCAGGGAGTAAAAAGTAGGGCCAGGAAAACTGTCAATTTTGCTGTTTCCAGCATTTGAATTTTTGAAACTTCAAATTCTTTCTGTTCACAATATGAAGTTTGCAAATTTAAGCAAATCCTTCAAAGATGAATTAAAGTGAAATTTTCCACAGCAAACTGGCTGCTGTGGAGGTGTTAAAGATGAGGAATGTCTCAAGAGAAGAGGTAGTAATCCTGATTTAGCATGAAATGGTTGTGAACAGAAGTCTAGACTTCTAGGAGGTGAGCACAAAAAGCTCTATGGAAGAAAAACAATTATCAATTTCAGTTTCTCTCACATTGAAAGCTTTTTAAAATGCCAATGTTGTTTTATTGTAAATATGAATGTATTACGTTTTGGTAAATTCTGATCACCCATCATTCAAGTGGATTGAACATAGAGTACCTTAAATCCAATTATTTGTGTGAAACAAATATTAGTTCTTTTAAATTATGCAATTTATTTCAGTATTTTATATGGTTTCATAACTTTTTGTGAAGAACACTTATATCAGAAAACTGAATACATTTGTACATGTTACTATATGGTTTTTTTGTTAGCTTGTAAAGGAAAAGTAATAAAAAACCTAATGATATATTACTAACATTTGTTTCTCTTTTTCTTTGGTCATACCTTATAGATGAGGAAGAAGGCAAGTTCTTTTAAGTAAAAACAATTAATATATATGAACAGTTAAATAATAAGTAAAAATAATTGTGTGAAAACAGCTAAATATGAACTGCTGGATTTCTCAGTGGTTTAAGTATCTGACTGTGAAGCCAGAGGTTCAAATTCAGTTCCTCACTGTGCCTCTTTAACAGGGGCTGGACTCGATGATCCTTAGTGCCTGTTCCAGCTCTGTAATTCTAAGATTATTGTTATGAACAGTTAAATAACCAGTAAATCATTTATTGTTGTTGTTTTCCAATATTCCTGGTTTCTCCAGAGTCCTCCTTATTAGTCCCTCATCTGTGCAAAAAAAAAAAAAAAAGTCCTAAATATGGGTTTGGGTGGGTGGCCCACTCCCAGGCCTTTGCATACAATATTTTCTTCATGTTCTTACATCATTTAGAAATTTCATTGTGTGTTCCTTTTGAAATTGCCAATGTGTAATCTCAGTGGGTGGGGCAGGCTAGGGAATGTGTTTTTCAGTCCAAGTATTGTAACGAGTTAGGCTTTTCATTAGTAGCATTCTTGCAATTTTAGAAGTAGCAATCTGTTGCTGTTTCCAGGTCATCAGTCTTTTATGGCTCCCTCCTGCAGCGTCTTACACTGCCCCGCTGCATGTACCTGTAGCAACAACATTGTGGACTGCCGAGGGAAGGGCCTTACTGAAATCCCAACCAATCTTCCAGAAACCATAACAGAAATGTATGTAACTGGATTTTTTCTCCTTACAACTACTTATTATTATAAACTTAATACTATGTTTCCTATTGTTGTACCATTTGTTTCTTCCAAGTTCATAGAGTGCTAAGTGGAAACATTTAGAGATGTAAGACAACTTTCTGGTAATCTAACATATTGTGGATGAATCAAATTGTTTCTGCTATAACCTTGTATTTTCTTTTGTTGATGACTATGCACATAGCTATGTTAACATCACCAAAAGGTTAACATCCCTCGCGAAAAGGAAAAATTTAGTGAATATCTTGTTATATATGGGTAGAAGGACCAATGACCTGAATTTTTTTCTCCTCCTGAAGAGAAAAGGTGATGCAAATTGATGTAGAGCTAATCCAGGCTTATCAGTGAGGTGTGGGGCAGGGAGGACTCTGTTTTCATATAGGATAAGAGAATTAGTTAGAATCTCTTTGCTGTGTGTCCAGTCCATTTTCTGTCTCAATGACAATAGTATTACTTGTTACTTGAACTCATGTGGGGAAAGTTATTTTGGTGATTTAAAAATTCTAATTGTTTCAAACTGTTTTAATTAATTATTTTTTTAAAAAAATAGCAGTAGTGCTTTACAAATGCATCATTAACTAATAACAGAACACATTAATATTTAAAATTAGAAAATTAGAAAAAACAGTTATGACAACAAAGCACTTTACTTAAAGTAAAACTAATGCAACATTTCCAAACTCTGCCAAATGTTCTCCAAACTGACATTTTAGTGTCATATCCAAAACTCGTCAGTTAGTTCACCTAGTGCACAACTGTCCACTCCAAATATTGGTGGCCCCCCAAAGTTGTGGACAGAGGTTTTGTACCCCCTCTTTGTTATGTTAGCTGACAACTGTTTGAACTGTCCATGCTAGGAATGAAATCTGGAAGATTTAATATTTGATACATAATGTTTTTAAAACATGGCATCAGAAAACTGTGTGAATTTTAGAGCTGAAGTGTCATAGGCCTAAGTAATAATTTGTTACCAGCAGTAACCGGACATTGTAAAAATATGGGCAAAAAACTTTTGCGAAAGCACAAGAGGAGTTACAAAGCGGTTTCCCTGCTTTGGCGGGCTGTCCTTCATTCATTTGATTACATATTCTGTTTCACAAGCAGTGCATATCTGGGCACATGAAAGACAGCCCACGAGAGAGGGACACCAACCCCATGATTACCCTCACATCCATCCCCATATGTCTGCAACAGTGCATGGAAACAACATTTTACCTAACACTTTTGATTGTGTTAACTCTTGCATCTAAAAAACAGAATGTATACAATTTAACTCATTCCCACAAACATTTATTTATTTTATTTTTATTTATTTATTTGATTTGTATCCTGCCCATCTGGTCTATGTGACCACTCTAGGCGGCTTCCAATATAACATAAACAACTACATTAATAAAATAACACAAAAATACTACATAAATCTTTCAATAACTTTACAAAACAGAAAAATAGAGTAAAGAGTAAATAAAGAAAGAATAAAAAGAATAAAGTATTGACTGGAGGGAAGGCCTGAATAAACATCCATGTTTTTAATTGGCTTTTAAAGATACCCAGCGTGGGGGCCGTGCGAATCTCTGGAGGGGGATTGTTCCAGAGGTGAGAAGCCACCGCCGGGAAGGCCCGATTTCATGTCTTCTCCTTCCGGGCATTTCTCGGCGTCAAGCTCCTCAGCCTCACCTCCTGACTCACACGGGTGATCCGGGTAGACCTTGGTGGGAGTAGATGTTCCGCCACATATCCATATTTGGGGAAAATATTTAAAAAAGCAGGAGGACTGACCTTATTTGATAAAAATTAAAATTACCCCAGTAAAGCTGGGCACAAACCAGAAATGGAGGGGGTCTTTATAGATCTTCACCATTAACACAGAATAAAGAAATTGGTGTGATTCAACCAGTCAGTCTTGGAATGGCAATTATCACACTAGGCATATGCAATCAAGAAATAATTGGGGGGGGGGAGAGAACAGTGAGGGTAGGAAAGTAATGCTTGCCAGATATGGTTTAATTTGTTTTGTTCACTTCATCATGCTTTTAATCTATTAAATTATTCACTTAACCTAATTGAATCACACTAGTCTTTTAAATTATAAGTGCACTGGAATGCACCTCCAATGCTGAGTTGACCAGTCAATACAGAATTCTGTAAGTTATCACTGATATGAAGGGCAGTACAAGCAAATGTTACAACATTTTACTGTAATTGGTTTTTAAATTAGGACCATATTTGGCAGATTGGGAGTAGATAGCATGAGCACATCTGTGGCAAAACAAAAACTTTTAAAGTTCTAATTGTTCCCTTCTCATATATCCCCATGCATTCTTTTTGCTGCTTTTGTTTTCAGGATTGTTTGTTGTTGCTGTTTTTGCAATACATAGTCAAGTCTGCAGTTAATTTTCAAATGCATACCGCTGTTTCCCAAAAAGAAAATGCTTTTCCCTACAATCTTTAAAGTCGATCCATACTCTCATTTAGGAGACACAATACCTTAAAAGTGGTTCTAAATGCATTTTTTTCACATACTGTCTCTGAACATGCCTATTGAAATATTCTGTAATAGTTGCCTAAACCTCTTGCCAATACTTCAGGAAATTCAGTGCTTAAGTCTAATTAAGGCCAAGGAAGCGTACTTGTAGACAAGAAGGTAAATTAGGATTGCTGGCTTTCCATAGGAATAAGTATCATTGAACAAATACACACAAAGAAGGAGGGACAGAGGGAGAAAGAGAGAAGGGGAAGGGGAAGAGAGTAAAGCCACAGAGGAGGAGAGAAGGTCTATGAAACGTGCAAGAAAGCAGCCACAGGGAGGAAGAAGAGCTGTGAAGAGACAGAAAACAAGAGTGGGGAAGAAAGAAACCACAGGCAGAAAAGAGAGTCCAGAAAAAGAGAATATAGAGACAGAGAAACCACAAAAAGGGGGAGAGTGAAAGGAGCCACAGGGAGTGGGGATGTTATAGGGAAGGGAAGGACTGATGACAAAAGAAAGCAGGAGAGGAGCCACACAAGGCAGAGTGAAAGAAGATGAAAAGGAGGGAGGATCAGAGAGAGAGAGAGAGAGAGAGGATTCGCAAAGAAAGATAGGGACTTCTCCAAAATATCTTGAGGCCACCGCAATCAGAAACATACACATATATACACAAACATTCCTTTCTTACTTTCTCAGGTATTTAGAAAGAGCAAGTCAGTTTAGCCTACAGTTCTGCATCTATTAACCTACTGTAAATCTCATTGAGGTGAATGACACATCTGGAAACATAGCATATTAGGGTTATAGCCTTACCACAGGAACAAGTGTAGCTGAACTTAGTCAAACTTCTAAGTATGCTGGCAGGCAAAATCATTTAAAAATATAATGTCTAGAAGTATTCTGTTTCTGAATCCAACAGCATTCTTTTCTTGGGCTGACGACATGTAAGTTCCAAAAATACTTACATTGCAATCCTATCATAGCTTACTCAGAAGGAAGCCCTATTGAATTCAATGGGACTTATTCCAGGGTGGGTTTGCAACCTTAATTGTCTTTCACCTTCCATGAATGGTGTATCTATGATACTGTAACTTAGACTTCCAGTCGATTTCTCAGAAATCTGGACATCTTGTTAAACTTCTTCTTCTTTTTTTTAGGAAATTCATTTAATCTGGTTTATTAATGTTGGATGTTGCTTCTGTTTCCACAATTCAGAACCACAGGAAGTGGTCTTGTAATATGGTAACCCATAAATGCCAAGCTTTACAAAGCAAAGGCCAGCCTGAATGCTGAGAACATCGGTGTTGGCAGTCAAGTATAGTATACAGTGGTGCCTCGTTTAATGACGTCAATTCGTTCCAGTGAAATCGCTGTAGAGCGAAAACATTGTAAAGCAAAATTAAAAAGCCCATCAAAATGCATTGAAAACCATTCAATGCATTTCAGTGGGCCAAAACCTCTTCAGTGAAGATCCTCCATAGGGGCGGTCATTTTTGGGTGCCTGTAAAGCAAAAAATGGCTCTTAAACACAGCGGGAAGCGATTTTGTACACCCGGTGGCCATTTTGAAACCCGACAATCAGCTGTTTTTAATCGTTGTAAAGCGAAAATCAGTTCCTGAAGCAGGGAACCGATCATCGCAAAGTGGATTTTCCCCATTCAAACCATCATTTTGCGATCACAAAAACATTGTCGTCAAGCGGATTCATTGTTAAAGGGGGTAAACGTAAAGCAGGGCACGACTGTATATAGTGGTTCCCAACCTTGCGTAACCCAGGTGTTCTTGGACTGCAACTCCAAGAAACCCTGGGCAGCGCAGCTAATGGTGAAGGCTTCTGGGAATTGCTGCCCAGGAATACCTGGATTATCTAAGGATGGGAACCACTGGTTCATGGGAAACTCTCTAGTGCTCACTATCATTCACAAAGAGAAACCTGACAAGGATCAGATATTGGATCATTTCCTGGAGTTCTGAATTATGGGCATAGAAGCTGCATTCGTAAACACTAGGCTTTCTGAGAGACTGGATAATATTAAACAAGAGGGAGTGGGGTAGACATTAAGAAATGTGACATGTGGTGTTGGAGCAGTTGATGCAGCTAGTCCTCAGCCTTGAGTGCAACAACCCAGAGAGTACAATTGCAAATGAGTAAAATTGATGCAGCAAGTCCTTAGCCTTGAGCATAACAACCCAGAGAGTACAATGGGCTTAATGATGGGGAAATGGTGTAAAGTCTTGCTTTCAGCACAAGGGCATATGATTGCCTCCTGATCAGATCTTTTCTCATATGAAAAAATGTTTGTTGTGACAAGACACCTGTCAAACATGTATGGGATTACAGATAATTCATTATATTTTTACTTTCAAATTCTATAAATCACTTCTTATGTGTTTATTGGTGGTACTTCATGAACACTGGTTTTCTTTCTACTAGAGCTGGTCAATTCAGTTTGTTAGGCATATAATCATTAGATCACTGACTCAACAGAAAAGTGTT